AAAGAAGGGTTGTGGGTCAGAAAAGAAGGGTTGTGGGTCAGAAAAGAGGGGTTGTGGGTCAGAAAAAAAGGATGTGGGTCAGAAAAAAAGGGTTGTGGGTCAGAAAAAAAGGAATCCCGATTTGCCCTTCAACTTCAATCCATTGGCATGTGTTTGGGTTCTTTTTCCGACCTTTCAGGCGGCCGGCCTCCCCCCCTTTTTCAAGGAATTCATGGCACTACCTCTTTCAAGGACAACTCTCCTGACATGACATTTAAAGGCGCCCTTTCCGAGTGCTTTGCAAAACAGTGCATTCATGCCTGCCAGCTCGTAGCCTCTGTCTCGTAGCTTTGGCTCAGGATGTCAGAGTTGCCAAGACGCGATGCCAAGTTGGCGGGACCTGACAATTCAAGAGGATCGCTCAAGTGAACCTGAGACTTGAACCTGGTACATTAAGTGATACTGTACATCCTATGGCGTAGGCCGGATAGGCCACGTTGGACGGGTTGCCTTGTGTTTCATATCGTCGGCGCAGTTTTTAAACGACCAAGTCACCTGAGACTGACCAGACGACCAGACGTAGCTTCCGCAGTCCAAGCGCCCGCGAAGATGGAGGCGAAGCCGGGGTGTTCGAAGATGGGGATCCAACTTGGCATCAAAACCGGCAAAAAGTCACTGAAATAATGAATGAAATGAATTTGCATGAATGTGCCGTTTCCATGTTCTATAATTATGTTAACCACTTAGGCTATCTCTGATGGTTTTTCCAAATAATGAAAAAGCAAAAAACAGCGGAACATAAAAGCAACTACAAAAAGCAAAAGCAAAAAATAGCGAATCCAAAAAGCAAAATAAAGCAAACGAAAAGAAAATTAAAAAACATCCTTTAACTAAAAAAATAGCAAATTATATAACAGCAAACAGCAAAAAAAAAACGAAACAACAAAAACACAAAAAAACATGGAAAAGCAAAAATCAAACAACAGCGAAAAACAAGCGAACAACAAAACAACGAACTGAAAAAGCGAAAAGCGAAAAAAGCGAACAAAAAAGCGGAAAACAATATAAACAACTGAAAAAACGAAAAACTAAAAAAAGCGAACAAAAAAGTGGAAAAAAAACATCTGAAAAAGCAAAACGCTAAAAACAATAAAAGCGAACCAAAAAGCGTAAAAAATGCAATTAAAAGAACAAAGCGAACAAAAAAGCGACACAAAAACAAAAAGAAACTGCAAAAAAGACGATAAAAAAAAGAAAAAGCACAAAAAAATGCGTAAAAAGCAAAACACAACAGCGAAAAACAAACAAATGAACAACATGCGGGCAATCAAAAAAACAAACATCATGGAAACAAAGTAACAAATAAAAAACAAGCGAAGAAAAAGCAGAAAATTGCATTCGTTTTTTGGATTTGTTGTGTTTTGCTTTTGCTTTTTCATTTGCTATGTGTTGCTTTTTTGTTTTTTGGCTTTTTCTTGTTCATTTGTTTTCTTTGTTTTGCGTTTTTGTTTTGTGTTTTTTTTTGCGCTTTTTGCTTTTTCATTTGCTTTTTGAGCTCTTTAGATGTGCTTGTTTTTTTGCTTTTGCTTTTTCTTTTGCTTTTTTTGCTTTGTGGATTCGTTTTTTTTGCTTTTGTTTTTTGCAGCTGCTTTTTGTTTGATTTTTTTCGTCATGTTTATGATTTTCAAGATTCACAGAGTTAGCCTAGGTCAGGAGAACACAATTCATAATAATCTATAATGTATAATGTATATATATATTTATAGATGCTCACCCCCGATGATATACATTTTCCTGCTTTTCAGCTCTTCTACCTTTTCCTGCATTCCTGCATTTCAGCTCTTCCAGCTGCTTTGCTGTACTCGGCTACCCCCTGTGCGGAATAGATTGTTGCAATACTTTGACAAGGTTCAAGAAGGGAGTTAAACATGAATCAACTAAGAGTTTAAGCGAAATCAAGGATTCAAAAGGAATTTAGAGGATATCACACAAACAACAATAGGAACACAAGATGTAATCAATAAAATCAACAAGGAAGAATGCATTTTAAAAGGGAATTCACACATAAAGATTAAACAAACACACACATGAACAGCATAGACGTGATTGCAAGTTCTGATTTTGTTAAAGCCGGACAGGGCAAACATTATTGTAGGGGGTAAAGTTATACTATTTAATATTTGTAGTGTAATGGGCTAAACCCTTGTGGAGTAGATTTTTACAATAGTTTAATTGATAACAATAAACTTAAACGGTAATCAACAACCATCAAAATGAGTTCAAAGGGAATCAACAAGAACAAGGAAAACACACAAAAGGAGTTTCAGGAAGAGAGTTCATAAATAAAAGGAATGAACAATGAACAGCATAGGCATAGACATCATTGCAGGGGATAATGTTTCAAACGTCATACCAGAGCAAAGTGCAGACAATATTTGAGAGGGTAATATTATTGAACAATGAAACAAACATAGACATTAACCCAGGGGGTGTTACTATTAAAGCAGCAGAAGGCGTGGCCATGGGGCCTGGGTTTAAAGCAAAAAGGAACCGACATTAATGTAGAGGGTGTTCTTATTCAAGAATTCTAGTGTACCGGGCTAACCCCTTTGTGGGATAGTTTTTCTTGTGATCTTTTGCTAAGATTTACACTCCCGAAATGTAACATGGACCCGGTTCGAATGGGACCCTGAAAGACTGTGTTTCTCTACAAACCTGTTGTTTTCAGAGTCCATGTATGTCCATGTTAGTTTTCCACAGGGTAATAACAAGGGAAATCAAAGAACTTGATTAACTAATTTCTAAAGGACCAAGAGGAACGGAATTCAATAGGCATCAATAGAAACAAAAGTAATGTTAAAAGGGAATTCACACATAAAGCTAAAGAAATATGACAAGCGTAGACGTGATTGCACGGGATGTTTATTGAAGCCAAACGGGGCAGGCACTATTGGGGGTAAAGTTATATTATTCAAGATTTCTGATGTACTTGGTTAAATAGTTTAAAGGCAAATCAATTGGAATCAAAAAGAATGTACACGGAAATCAGTAGAATTCAACAGGATTGATGCTACAAACCTGCTGTTTTAAGAAGTTTTAATAACATGTAAACATAAATATATACTGTATATATTATATTTAAACGTGCTAAGAACATCCTATAATAGTTTAGCATTGTTTGACCAAAAACAAAAAACTAAACAACATAGTTTTTTGGGCAGCTTGCTGCCAGATCGGTCTATTTTAAGCTTTTGGCATTGGTTCGTATTCCTTTTAGACTTCCTTTACTTATTACTCTTGAACCAAAAGAAAGAACACATAGGACTATACTTTTGCCAGTTTGAGACTAAGAACACATGGTTGTCCATCTAAAGGTCCTAATACATAGCGTTGATTACGATGACCCTGGAACATGTCAAAACATCATTTGGCGAAAGTTGTTTCTCGAGTTCGCGAAAGTAACATATTTTTTGGCGAAACATATGGCTAAAGATGTTCTTTCTGCTGCTGTTGCTGTTACTACTACTACTACTACTACTACTACTACTACTACTACTAGTACTGCTACTGCTACTGCTACTACTACTACCACTACTCCTGCTGCTGCTACTACTACTACTACTACTCCTGCTGCTGCTGCTACTGCATACTGCTACTCCTACCACTACTACTACTACTACTACTACCACTACCACTACCACTCCCACTACCACTACCACTACGACTCCTACTGCTGCTGCTACTGCTACTACCACGACGACGACGACGACGACGACGACTACTACTACTACTCTACTACTACTCTACTACTACTACTACGACGACGACGGCGACGACTACTTCTACTACTACTACTACTACCACTACTACTACTACCACTACTACCACTACTACTACTACTACTACTACTACTACTACCACTGCTACTATACTACTACTACTACGACGACGACGACGACGACGACTACTACTACTATACTACTACTACACTACTACTACTACTACGACGACGACGACGACTACTACTACTACTACTCCTGCTGCTGCAGCTACTACTCCTGCTACTACTACTACTACTGCTACTGCTCTGCTGTGGGGGGGCGGCTTGGCCACAAAACTCTACCCCACTACTACTACTGCTACTACTACTATTACTACTACCACTGCTACTATACTACTACTACTACTACTACTACTACTACTACTACTACTACTACTACTACTACGACTGCGACTACGACTACTACTACTACTACTACTACTACTATACTACTACTACTACTACTACGACTACTACTACTACTACTACGACTACGACGACGACTACTACTACTACTACTCCTGCTGCTGCAGCTACTACTACTGCTACTACTACTACTGCTACTGCTCCTGCTGTGGGGGGGCGGCTTGGCCACAAAACTCTACCCCACAAAAGGCGAAAGTTTGGCGAACGTTCAGCTCAAGATTGGCGAAAGTTCACCCTGCCACATCTGACCCCCAGCCCATTATGAGTAAGTCTGAGTGACCGGCTACTATAGTGACTGTAGTGATTCTTGCAATTTTTGATTCTTGCTGACACCCAGGAGAAACAAAAGAGACGTACAGGGTGTCAGCTGTCGACAGTTAAGTAGAAGACACATGCTGACAAACAGTGAAGGTTTTATTTCATAATTGCCAGTAAAGAAGAAGCCATTGACATGAACAAATTTGATACCCATCATACAACATACACGGCACACATAAATACAACATACTTCGGCGAAAGATAAAACACAGGAAGACGAAAGTTTGGCTAAAGTATTTTTTTCTGGCTAGAATGACGGATCCCAGATAAAGGAATTTATATAGATCAACACCCACATAAACAAAACAATCAAACGCACAGACTGTCCGATGAGTTTGGTTTCTGATTTTGCTTGTTTTTTTGGTTTTTGGTTTGTATTTGCTTTAGATTTCCTCTATTCATTACCTTTGAACTAAACGAAATAACAAACAATATTCTATGTTTGCCAAGTACTAAGAACAAAAACGCAAGACAAAAAAACACAACAACAGTGTAAACAGAACATTTTGAAACCACACTTCTCGAAAAGTCTTTTTGTTGTTTCCTCAAACATGTGTTAACAAATATGTGTTGAGCACACTTTATTATATGATATATGTTATTTAAACACGCGCAAAAACAGCAGGTTGTTAGCACATTTTAAATAGTGTGTTGGTAGTCGTCAGCTAATAGCTAATGAGGACCACAGATTTTTGATAGGGTCAAAACATAGACTTTGTATGGGCGGGTACTTTGATATTTGGATTGTGGAAGAGGTCTGAAAGACAACCTTTGGATCGAAAAAACACATCCCGGTTCTGGTACAAGGTGTATATATACTGTATATAATTACGTATATAATATATATATATAACACACATACATATATGTTTATGTACAGCCCGCCCACCGGGTAGATGAGATGTATTTTGGAATATATTGCAGACAAAGCGTCGCAAAAGTCGGAACGCCCAGCTCCGCATGTTTTTTCTGATGTGACGTTCTGTGATCTGGCCCCTGGGAAATCATCGGTCAGACTCGTATCAATCCTGAGGGAGTATTTCGAAAAAGAAAACCAAAGGAAAATACCCCGCTCAGTCAGGCCCAGACCCTACTGTCGCTCTGACCAGAAGCCAAGGTGACTCAACGTTATGAATTAAACATTGTTTGGTCTGCCGCTGGACCAAACATGGACAGACCAAACCTACTACGGACTGCACCCTATTTCTGGATTGATGGATGGATGCCTTTTGCAACAGCCATGTTCTTGGAGGTTGTGGATGAGTTGTATGTGCCAGATCTGTATGTGCCAGATCTGCTCTGGGCGATGGGTTCCATCGCTGTCGGGTCAGTATGGCACATCCTGTCCAAGGTAGTTCCTTCTAAATGCAGAAGGCTCATCCCATGTCCACCACTAGATTCTGAGATCTTCAGCGGGCGGGCGTTCTTGGGGATTGCTGAGACGTCCACTCCAAACGCCCTGGAGCAATCTGAACTGCAGTCAAATTGGGAAAAGTAAGGCGCATGGTGATAAACCAATGATATGGGCTGTTGATGAATGAATCCCCCTACCAGTGTCACGGTTTTAGGATGTTTTATGAATCAACCATCTACAAACAACAGGAGAACAACGTGGTTCCCTCAAGAACATGCTTCGAAGCATCGGAGGTCCGTATTGTTTTCCCCCTACGAAAACATGTTCGTCCCTTGGTCACAGCGATTGTGACAGTGCTCCTTTTGCCAAGCATGGAGCCTCCTGTCCGGTGCTCCTTTCATGAACAACTTGTTTGTCCGTTTTTCAAACTCGGACCTACCCGGACCTACCCGGACCTCAGTGAAGTCTTGGCACCAAGTTGTTTGGATTGAAAAGCGAGGCAGGGCAGCCACTGAAAGCCACCAGGTGCTTTGCACAACCAACCGGGCTCTTTTGTTGCCCAACCTGCAGGCCTCGGCCTTCATCACTTTGAGGCCGAGAACGAAGATGCGGTTCGTGGGCATGCGGTTGTCGCTGGGGGGGGTAGAGAGGAGTTCGGACCCAAAGTGTGGGACCGACCGGATTAGTATGGATTAGGCGAGTAGGAAGTTTTTACTTATCGGTATTTTATAGTCCTTCAAATTCAGACATGGATCATGGATGGTTTGGAGGATGCTGCAACTGGTCGGTTATATTAACTTTCATCAACCAGACCCGGTTTTGGACCCACACCGAGATGGTGTGCTGCTTTCAACAGAAGTGAGGGTATGTCAGGGTACTCTCCCATGTGCAGCACGGCTCATGAGTCATTGGACACATTCCTCCGAAACAAGACCCACGACCCATCGCTGGGACTGGTGACCGACCGGTGAGGAGCCCTTCCGGGCCGACGCTCGCGATTGAGGTGGGCGAGGGAGGGAGGTCGGTCGTCCAAAATGGAGGGATCCCACAAGTGTTGACAAACCTCCGCCATGGAATCGTCACCAGCATAGATCTCCCTTCCACCTGTTGAAAAGCAAACGGACCCCTCCCAAAAATACACCATCGTAGACCCCCGGCGGACGTAGTGCGCCCAGACCGGGAGACAAATATAAGCTATTGCTATTGAGGGTTTTCCAGGCGGACACTGGAAGAAAAATGTCAAATTTGCTACTAAGCACTTGCCAGAAGAAGGGCAGACTGGTCAGACGAGACGAATGTAAAGAATTGCAGTTGCCACGGCGGACACAAACGTGGACACACTTAAAGGCATTGAGAACCCGAGCAGTAAACTGCTTGGGGAAACATAGCTGTATAAACAGCGGGTCCATTGGGGGGTCCCCCACATAGGGGGACCCCTAGAGATGGGAACCTGGAAGAGCTTAAGATAGTCTAGGAGTCTAGGATGTAGGCTATTGAGTTCATGAAATCATTGATTAAGCTGGTATCGGAAGTTTTAACATCATCTAAATGAAAGGATCATCCTTTTCCCTTTACAAGGACAATGTTTTCAAACATCATTTTTCCGTTACTAGTCGCTTGTAGAGTTTCCATCAGGCTAACTTAAATAAAGAATCTGATAGGTGATGTCGCTGTGCCATGCAGTTTGGCGAGGCCTGGTGAATGTGGCATGCGGCATGTCGCTATAGTGAGCGGCACCCTTTGGCCACGTGATCTCTTCAGATTCAAGGGCATCTCGATGGGAGTTTGGCCACGCTTCCCCGAAGATGCATGAAACTTGTGAGTCTTGTGCCAGACATTGGCCCAGCACAACGAATCCAACCCCTATAAGGAGAACAGCCTTGAGCACGAACTTGCAGTCGTCAGAGGTCAATGCACCAACGCTTTAAACGCGGACGATCCCTTGCAGTGGATGCCATCTTGAGGATGGAGCTGGCAATAAACGAGTTCATGGACCCCCATCTCAATGGTGGCATTGCCCTCACACTTTAGGCTCATAGGCCCAAAACTCCAACTGCCGAAGCCCCCCAAAAAAGCTCCTGAAACTCGCCCAAGACACGATGCTCCGCAAAAGAAGTGTGTTCTGGGTAACTCACTTGTCACTGGCACCAGGATTTGCCAGGCTTGCGAGCGATAGAAGGCACCCAAACGCCACGTGAGAGCTCAAGACAACCTTGCCGAAGCAAGAGGTGCAAGCTCCTGAGGCAGTATGGCTACAAGAGGCTCACTGCAGCTATGATGTGCCTCAAGGACGATCGGGTGTCAAAGTATCGGAACCGTCCAGAGTCCAAGCGTCGCGTTCGCCTCACTGACTACCAAGGCCCGAGGAGTTGGTTTGGACACCAAGAGGCAGTGTGTGCGGGTGGCGGCGGTTGTTCACCTGGCGGTCCATGTTGAGAAAATGTAAGGAATCCAACCCAGGTGTCCTTTCCATATATAATATCTATATAACATAATAGATTGAACATGCTGCAAGCTACTGGAACTCTCAACATGTCCAAACCCATCACACCATGTCGTCATTTGCAAAACCATGGTGCTTTGGCTGAGGATGATGCCATCCGAAGTCCCCGTTCGTGGCGTGACATCGGGTTTCAGACATCGGCCATCGATCGCCGGTTCAATCGTGGAGTTTTCTTCAAAAGTGGTACATGGTCCCTTGTTGTGGCCCACCAACGGTTGTGGCTCAGTGTGAAATACGAGTTTCTTCCACTTAATTGACGCTCACTCTGCACGTTCTTCTCTCAGCCCCGAGAGAATGAGACGCCTTGGTTCCAGGCAGGAAGACCTGCAAGACCCCCCACATTCCCAAAAAGGTGATAGGGACTCGCAAATGGTTGGGGTAAGTTTGGAGGTTCCGTTCCGTGTAGCATCTGAAAAGGTTTGGTTGCATCCGAGAGACCTTTGGAGAACTTGGAGTTGTTCACCGGCAAATAACAAGACACTTGAAACATAAACTTGCATTGTTTTCTCTAAGATATTCAATGGCGTGAGAAGGACAGAAACCTGACTCTCGACCCTTCCGCCGTTTCGCTGCCGTTCAGTGTGTGTTGCATCAAACCACAAGGGAACCGCAACAAAGCGTCGCGGTTCCCTTGTTTGCCAGACGCACCTTGTCCCACTTTTGCACACCCACCTGTGATTGCACAAACCCTCTGTTTCTGCCCTGCGCTTGGCAGATGGACTGCAGCCCACAGCAAGCTCGGCGCTGCAAGCTGCTCAGGTGGGGTGCATCCTGCAGTTTTGATGACCTCAGCTGGATTTAGCTCAACCCTCAACTGATCCCACAAACCCATAGCCATAGCTGCAATTAAGTTAAGTATATGTATATTTTATTAGTTTTAAACAATTTTGATATATGCTGATTCACTGGTTCGATACCTTGTTTTCCTTTCTGCTGATTTGGTGATTCATGTTTGTCGTGACTGGGCATGTTATTCCACCACACAGATTTGATTTGTCCCAATTCCATGCACCATGAGTCAATACCCAACTAACGTCTTATGTCACTTATGTCCTTCCTCTTGCATCACCCCAAGATATCCACCGAAGCCCAGCAGTCAAAGCCCAGCAGTCTGAAGCACCTCCGCCGGCCTCCAGGCACCGGAACCGCCGTGACGGCCCTCGCCGTGTGTCGCCTCCGAGCGCGGGGTGTCCAGGCGGATCAGCATCGGACCAAGGGCCTCGCATGTGGTAGGCATGTGGTACCCACGACCCCAAGGTTGACCCACTCAGCTGGTGGGTTTGAAAAACTCCTTGGAACTGCTGGTTGATAGGTTTCTTTTCCTGTCAAAATGTCCAAGTATGATTTGCCATGTTTGACGGTGTGATATGATGTGACGAGAAGTGGTGAAGAAATAAAGTGATTGCGGCATTTGAGGGTGATTACGTGTTGTGTTGCAGTTGTGATTTGCAATGGAGTAACATGTATTGTTGTTGTGTGGTTGTTGGTAATTGGTGATGTGTCATCACTTGCGCTGTATTGACCGCAATCAATGATGTTGGAAGTGGACAAGTGCCATGTGTTGATGTGGCATACATACTATGTATCTACGATACATCTACGATACGCAATACGTGATGACGCCCTTGCTGGCTATACGATATGTGATATTCGTTTGACTCTATCATCTCTCGAGTGGGAAACGATGCAAGGGACAGTGGTGGGACACCGATGGCAACTGAATTGCTCAGTATGAGTCTGCATGAACATCAGGAGGATGAGCACTGCACAGTCCAAAACTGTCACTCGCACGGCAGCGCAGCGGGCGCGCAGCGCGCAGCCCGCACCTGTTGGCAGGCTGCGCGGCGCTCGCGGCAATCCCGGCTGAGCTGCCGAGCGCAGGAGGAGGCTGCTTTGGGCACTGAGAGGGGTTTCCACAGTACACCAATCACTGATCCGCAGATTGTTCTTGGGAAGGTACCGTCTTTGTGGCTGCCCTTTGTGGCATGAGGGCCCAAGATGCGGCAGAAGATGTTGATTCGGTCGACGGTTTGGGTGCCGCTGATGTGCCGACGTCTTCGTTGTCGAAGAAGATCCGCACCGGAGGTCGACTGATCGGCTGTCAGTGCTGTCACCGGATGGCTGAAAGCTCGAAGTGGCTCGAAGTCCCCAAAACATGTCATCGTTGGAGGGTTTGGTTGGGTCTATAGGTTGATGTCGGAGGGTCTTCCAACTTATCCCGTTCCTTCGTCACCACTCGGATGCTGTTCCCTCTCGATCAGTCTGCTGAAGAGCAGCTGGCTGCCCTGGAGGCCGAACTGGAGGCCTGACGAGGGCGTTTCCGGTGAGTTGAGCTTCACTGATGGGGTCAAAGAGATGTAATATGATGCAATTAAATGAGTGTAACCAGATGATAACATATGCCGGTGTCATGTACTGTTTGGGTGGTGAAGAAGAAAAAGCACTATTCATTTGATGGAGCGAAGATTTCCGGTGACATATTATTTGGCGGTGTATGGAAACTGTTCTTTGGGATGTAGATATGTATATATATATAATAACAATATGTAATTATACATCATTATATATGTATATATCCATGAATTAGATCCTCAATGTTTTCAGACGGCCTAATGTCAGGAAGGACAACGACCCCTCCTAGAGAAGGAAGCATTTGATGAGTTTGGGCCGCGGGTGGGGGAGGGCAGACCAGTTTAAAGAACGCCATATGTTTTGCATCAAAATGTTGCGTCATCAGTGTGTGTCATGTTCAGGGCTTTGCCAGTGGAGCCTTCCTGGATCAATATTTGATATGAGAACACAAGACGAGAAATCCTCAGGATTGTACCCACACACAAAAGACTGGAAAGTGAACCTCCTGCAAGTTTTTTTTGTTGGACAAGGTGATACTGCCAAGGTGATACTAATACTCAGTATTTGCGGACCATTGAGGATCTCTTGGACGCTTGGCTCGTACGTTCGACATGGTGCACGCATGAACAAATCACTGAGGCTGAGGGCCGAAGGGCCGACCGAGTGGCGTGGGGTGACGGAACAGCATGGCGTTAGACCGACCAGACAATCTCTTTACTTTCGCCATGACTGACCTGCACCAGTCCCTCTTGGCGAATTGTTCTTCAAACATCTTCTTGGCGAATTGTTCTTCAAACATCTTCTGAGACAACGCATTGTTTTTGGTGCGGTGTTTTCTATATTCTGATGATTGTCCGGTAGAAATCCACCACTGGGAATCATTGCAGGTGTATGTGAGCAACCTCCAAAACGTGCGATGACAAATTTAGTACAGAGCGGTCGTGAATTTGTGAAACCAAAGGCGATCACCTTGCTGAATCATGTCCTCTGCTTGACAGTACGTTTTGGCAGACACTCATGTGAGCTTGGTTCTCACCTTCAGAGGCAACGTGGCAAACAACGCAACTCTCGGTTCTTCAGTCATGGTTCTTTCCAGCCATCGTTTTTTCCAGCGGTTGAAGCTGAAAAAGGGGATTGGCTCTCTTTAGATCCCCCACAGATCTTGAAGACCCCCCCCCCTTTTGTGGCTCTCTTCAAAAGACTGCCGTCCACTTGGCTCTGGAGCTGGGCGGTCTCCTCCTCGAGCTGGGCGGTCTCGCACGTGGGCGTCCCTCTCGTCCCCAGAGTGCTTCCATTCTTCGTTGCTCGAGGCATTGGAAGATGAGATGGAGGAGGACCGAGTGAGGCGATAATGGATGACATGGAGACGGGAGACCTCGCTTTTGGTTGGCTCATTGGATGGAAGAAGACCAGGGTCCGTGCGGCCAGGTTCTCATTAAAAGTGATAAGAGACGGGTGGGTTTTAGGGTCAAAAGCTATGGGTGGCAGTTCAGGCATTCACTGCCAGAGACTAAGGAGCTATTTCGCTCTCCAGGGAGCTAGGCAAGCAATCTGTCAGAGTCAAAAGCCGAGGTCCGTGCGCAAGTTCACTCAGGATGCTCTCCGCCTTTGAACTAACATGAAAGTGGAAAATAGCCCATTGGAAGACCATGTTCATCTACAAACAGGAGTGGGTTCCACGTCCATGTTTGTTGTAGGGCCTAGGGAGAGACGAATTTGGTCACGGGATGCCGGCCGTTGGGATGCCAGGAGATTGCATGGCACCACCTTGATCCAGTAGGGTTGGACATTTTGCAACATGTTCCATCATGGAGGTCATGTTCCTCCCAAAGTTTGGGTTTCAATACCATGTTACATGTTGATAGAACATGATATAACATGATAGAACTAGTGTATAGTATGAACAAGAAATGAATGTGCAGGCGCTGGACTGTCATTTGAGAAGTGCATGATCCTAGGATTCTTACGCCACTCTCCTAGAGTGTCTAACATGGACCCTGAAAATGACTTCCAAAAGATGGTTTCCTTTGCTACAACTCCTGGTTTTCATAGCGCAGCGGCACAGCATCTTAGTTTGTACGGAGACCAGCCAGACCAGCCTGGTATTTCTGCAGATATCGCAGCTAAATCATGCCGCGGTGTGTCGATGTATTCTCCAGGCAAGCCGATTTGGAGGAAGCTGAGACCAAGAGCAAGGCGGGTGGAGTGACACTCTGCGGGAAGGGTTTCAGCATTGAGACTCATGGCGGGAATCAAAGTCTGAAGGGGCAGCTACTCAATTACTACTCATGCTACTCGATTGCGACCGGGATTTGGCAAGCTTTTAAAAGGTTCAATAGAAAATAAGCCTCCAAGACGTCAGAGAATATTTTACTATAAATCATAACAGATTGGATAATTCCGGTTTGGGCAGCTAGCCATCAAAGGAACGAGGGCAGGTTGTTTGGAACTGAACTTCAGCAGAGCTGAATGGAGCGTTCAGATCAGGAAAACGACAAACTTCGCCACAGGCACGAGCTGATGTCTGGTGAAGCAGCTCGAAGATTCGCACGCAAAAGTAGCAGGGGACATCGAGATCAAGACCATCTAAGAAGTGAATACCGTCAAGCTGCTACCTTCTGGGGCCATGAAATAGAGATCTTCATCCGCCAAGCTTTTTGGTTTTTGGGCAACCCAGCAAGCGCGGGCGGTCAACTTCGAAAACCGGTCGATCGAACTTCGATGGTGGAGAGCAGAGCACACTTGTTCATTGGCCACGCAAGGGTGGGTTTGGAATTCTTTCCATCCACACAGGCCCCCCGTCCACCGTGCGCCGTCCCGCCAGATCGAGCAACGCTTCAAAGACGCGGCGCCTGGCTTAGACTCGCAGGTCGTGGCTGGAAGGCCTGGGAAGAGTGGAGAGATGAGGAGGGGGGCAGATCTTCGTGTTGATCTTCTTCCAACAGTCATAGAAGTAGGGGAACAACAGTCTTCCACTCAGGGCACTAAATAGGGGTGCCCAGCTGCCCAGCCAGCTCCAGAGTCAGGTGAGCAAGACCTCAACCGCCTGGGTGTGCAGATGTCGACCCCGAGCATGCAGGGGTGCTACATCCGAACGAACTTTGAAGGGTCTTTTCCATCTCAGAAGAAGAGTCAAGTAACCGATGCATCATAGTCTATTCAATCTTGGTTGCAAGCACTGTCAGAAGACAACATTCCGTTTGTATCTGAGAACAGGATTTAGCAAGAGACAAGCCACATCCCTGACTCAACTAAGATGCCAATTGACCTTATCGCAGATGATCCCTTCAAGTCGGAGAATCACCTTTGCCATCCTTTGCCCGTGGGTTAAAACTAAGCTGAGAACACTCAAGATACACAGCCAGATCAGCCAGATCCGCAGACCCTGCATGATGGAGGTCACCAAGAGACGTTGCTTCTATGACTATGGGAGGGTGAAGCAGGCTCTAACTCACATCCAGGATTTCAGAGGTCCTCATCATGTGTGAGGACATTCACAACTCATTTGAGCAGGCTTTTGGATGTAGAGATGGATCCTGAGTCCAGAGGCCCACCCATCTATTGAATGCTTACATAATGCATGCTTTTCGGAAGATTCAGTTCACTTTTGTCAGCAACTCCACCTGCTGCATGCGGGCGCTTCCTTGTGTGTACATTGGCAACATGTCTGAAATGGTTCTCAAGCAGACAATGTATTTTCCCAAGAACTAACCTTGGTTCGATGACGAGGTCTCTCAGGTCCTGCAGGCATTCAAACAGCTTCAGCAGAAGATCTTGATCCAGGACTTCCTTGGTTCCCAAAGTCTTCCAATTGAAGTGACAACAGGAATGTACCTTCGGAACTTCGGAGGGATCATTGCCGCCCTTCTTGCAGCTGTGGCACTTGAAGGAGCCAACCATCGGAATTCTGCCAACCATCGGCACTGATCACGAAGGAACTGATCCTCAACAGAACCTGGTCACCAGAATCACCGAGCTTCGACCGATGGGGAGGTGGCAGGGCGGATCAGTGCCGATTGCCAATGAGGAGCAAAAGTGCCAGATCGAATGACCTGGCATTGCTACGCTAGCGCACGAAAAAACTCCTAGTAGCTTCTTTGCTCCTAGAGTAGTAAGGCCAGGAGCCCCTAGTAGCTTCTTGTTCCTAGTATGAGTTAAGTTACGTGCCAGATTGAATGACCTGTAGGAAGGGCTCTTCTACGTTGTGGAACCAGCTGAGGAGCAAAACTGCTCTTGCTGCAGTGATAGCATTTCAGGGCAAAGCAGTTACAACTGTCGTCAGATCCGCGTAAGCTCAAGTGCCAACTCGAAGACTTAGCATGCTGATTTTAGGGGCATCAGTTTTAAGCTCAGCGTGGGTATCATTGTCCAACACTTTGTTTCTTTGGTGTCCGCCGTCTGCAGAGCCAGGTAGCGCATACTGATCATACTGGTGCTCCGAACAAAGGAGAAGGATAAAGATGAAAAAACAGAGCAGGTGAAACCAGAAGAGAGAGAGAGAGAGGCAAAATGACACATACTCGTACCATGTTTTCGCTTCTGGTACTAGAAGCTTCACATAGTTCCAGCATGTTCCAGCCAAGACCTGATTTCGCGCCAGGGCACCAAGTGAAATAATGGTGCGCAATACGTACTGGACGCCCACGCAATGGTCCAGAAGATGGTACGTGTGCACGTCTTCGCTATGGCCTCGCTGTGGGGATTCCTTGCTTTACACTAAGAGCAACAAAAAGAAGGAGCTTCGCGGTTTTCTATGGGCGACTTCCAAAGATGTTCGCATCGCCCTCTATGTAGCCCTTCTTAGTCTTTGAGAGCGCAGCGGACGCGGACGATTGCAGCACTTGACTTCAGCATTTGAATCAGTTTGCCGTGTCCTGTGGCGAGTTGACAAGCCAAGTAGTGTATACAGGACCATACATTCCTGATGCCCTCATGTATCTACTTGAAGCTTACCTAATTACATGCAAAGCTCTTCATGTTCAAGGAGAAGACGATGGTCTATTTCAGTGTTTGTTGGACAAAGGGTGTATATTATATACATATATACTCGGTATTTCTCTTAGATTGTAGGTAATGACTTGATGATTCATCCGGCCTTTCAGTTGGCTTCTGTCCCATTGCCTTGCTTGGACAGGAGGGTGTCCTTTCAATTTACAGGCTTCGCAGAAAAAAACAAAGTTTCTTTTTTTGAATAGGTATTCCTCTACTGGAATTAGTGTAGTGACGTGTAGGATTCTCTACGCAATGATATGCGATTGAAGAAGGAATTTGTTTGTAGATGTTTGTACTGAAGTTCTCGGTTATGTTTGAACATGTTTCATTAAACATAGATTAAACATCACTACCTTAGGTTTGAACAAAGACTTGTGACAGATGTATAGGTGGTTTAGAGACACTAAGGGCAGTGCTTGTCATGTTGATGGGGGTTCCCATACTTCGTCCCACATTCATTGGCCCCCAGTCCAATCCTATGGTTGAGGGACAAACAAACTCCCGCCGATGAAATACCCAACAATACCTACACGGCAAAAACATACAAAACATGGCTGGTTCCCGGACATTCCACTGGCAGTAACGGATTTGGTCCATCAACAATACGACTGCATGCAGTCGGTTGACCGTGAACCTCATTGGACTTGCTAGTTCTTTGGACCTGAAAAGGAACATATTCTTGATCCAAGTAGTTTTCTTTTTGTCCTGCAGCTTTGTGATCCATCAAAGGTAAGTTTTAGCACAAAGATTCTGTGCAAGCATTGGCCTTTGGGTGTTTGGTGTGTCGTAAACTTTTGCTCACTTGCCGGAAGCAAGCCAAACCTCAGTAGGTGGTTTCTATAATTGTCTATGGTTTCCCGTCTAGGAAAGGCCATAATATAGTTGGCAAGATATTATCACTACTCTTATATAGTTCAAGTCCTGATAGCGCCCTCAAAGTATCGAAGAAAAAACACAAAACGTGAATCCCCTCTCAAAAATGCCCTCGGAAAAGTTTGTTTCTATCGCTTTGGACACTCATAGTAGTTGACCATAACTGCACTCATCACCCAAAACAAAACCTTCGTCTCGGCTAGTAGGTTGGAGGCCATCGCTAGTAGGTGTGTGTCCACCTCCGCTCGTTCGCCCCCGTTTCCCTCGTCAGGGGCGCCGATGCCGTGGGAGTCACGGCCACGGTGGCCGTTTGTGGCCGTTCGCATGACAGCAGTGTGGCCCAGCGTGTGATGAAGCTCTTGGCGGCCCGGGCACTCGGGGACTGGGCTGTGGAGGTGCTGGAGAAGTGTTGAAAGGTGTGGAGACATGTTTATTTGGACACATGTTGTTTGGAAGGTGCTTTGTTTTGAAGCGCCTGGGGAAGTGCTTATCGTCCAAAAGATTCCACGCAAACTACTCTCGTTGTTTCAAGATGCAACCGAGGACGGGCCCGAGGACGCAAGGCACTTCCCTCGGACGCTCCGTGGAACTGCCATAGCCATTTGCCCACGACGATGGGAGTGGTGCATGGTTGAACAGGGTGAATGGGGTGGTATCTTCATCTTCCATGCAGGGAGTGTCTGGTGTCTTTGACTTGCCCGCGACTACACTGGTCGCCGGTGTTTTCCCAAAACAGGGTCCCCGCGTGTCCCCCTCCACCTTCAGACGATCTTTCATCCCCAAAACGCTCCCGCGACTACCGCGATCCGTTGAGCCGGAGGCCGCTGATTCACCGCCCATTTTCTTGGATTCGCAGGAGGTGACCAGGAGAGAGAGGGGCAAACGTTCGACCGTTGGGACACGGCCGGTCTGGTTTGGTCGCCGGTGGGTTTGTCAGGGATCGTTGCGCAACAAAACATGAAGCGGTGTCCCATTTTGGGATTGATATGGAGATATCAGTATAAATCAGTACTATACTGTAATGGTGTGCTCTATTTGCTTTTCACGGGATAGGGCCCCCACATAAACGAGATACTTTTGTTTGATGTCACTAAAGCAGTCTGAACGAGATAGTGTGATTTGCTACTAAAGTAGTCTGAGCGAGATACTGTGACATGACCTCCTGCTTAAGTAATCTAAAACGATATAGGGCCCCCACATAAGAGATAGTGTATTTGAGCCAAGTACCAAATAGATTTCGTCAGTCATATATATATACACACATACGTATACAATATACAACTATGTATACAGTATATCTACAAGAAAGTGGTGAAGCTTGCCTAAGTCAAATCTTTGCATGTCCTATGGCCTGGCATCATGTATTGCACAACTTCTTCATGTTTGCGTCGCGAGGCACGAGGCGATCGCGACGGTCAACCGGGCGGTCGGACCGTGGTTTGGAACGCCGGTGGGTGATCCATTTGGCTCGGAACGTGTAGCGGTTGCATGTTTGAAAGTGCGACCAATGAATATAGGCATTTGCAGTTTCAGGGATTAGTAAGACTATACAGGCTACAGGCGTCCAGCGAACAGCAGATATTTGAGCATTTAAAAACCATGTGGCACATGTCACATGTTGCACGATCTCAGGCAAACTGACCCAAATATAGTAGCTCAGCAGTTGACTCGACACTCAAACCAGGCGGCCAAGCAGGTCAAATTGAATTCTCCATACTGTATTCGGCCTCTCCAAGCGATCGACTGGGCCTCTCAGTTTGATCCCTTCCATCGATAGAAGGATCTGTCACCAGTGGCCGAAAAGCGTTGGCCGCCTGGCGAACTTGCTGCGTGGCCGAACAGTTTGTTTCACCATTGAGTGAAACCGCCTTTGGGGGGCGCATTTGTGCACAGAGGCTGGGGGCGAGCTCGATCCGATTCGGAGGTCAACAGCCCAACAGTGGAAAAGGGTTGAAGTGTTCCAGACACAGCGGGAATTTTAGTAGCTTTTGCTGAGGAGGGAGCGATCCAGAGTTGGGGTTATCCATGTATGCCCCATGAAAGAGGGAGCCAGGGAGCGGAGTTCCCGAACCCATTGCCAATGTTGCACATGTTGTTTCTACCCTAGGGCTCCCGGCGTCTTCAGAAGGTAGGGACAGACACCCCCAAGCCACCCACACCACCTTCTTTTCAGTTGTTGTTGAAGCCCTAGGGATAGCTCTATGTTACATCCCCCTCAAGACTCTTGGCTCAGTCTTCCCAAGTGGTGGTTTAGATAGCTTTGGCCGTAAAACCGTCTTGGTGATGTCTGAGGAAGTGGCAGGGGGGATGTCTGGGGGAATGCTGAAGGGAACACAGATATGCTGAGACTGTCTGACGGTCGTCTTGGGGGAACGACGAAAGAATGGACCGGTTCGGGAAGAGAATGGTTCCGAGCGTGCGAAACACCAGGACTCGATGGTGCATGCCTTCTTGCTTGTCACTTCGTGCTTGAACCATCTGGAAGATAGCACAATTCGTGCCTCCTTGACACAACAACCTTACTCGACCTGAAGCCCATGGGGCTCGTGGGTTGGGAATCTTCACTGGACAATTCATCGTAGCTTCCGCATGCCTTGACAGGGTTCGAAGATCAAGTTTCTTTGCACACTGTTGCTGTTGGTGAGTTTGTTAGATGTATCAACACATTATGACATATATATATATATATATACACAGTATTGTATATATTGGAACATTATAATTTTGAGACATCTACCACTCAATGTCCATGTCATCACATCACCTATCTTGGGCGATTTGCTCCATGCGGAGTCTCTTTCGCCAGGCGATGAAGGCTGGAGCTCCTGGGCGAAAGTGTCTTTGGGAGGGAAGATGGAAGCCCATTGAAGCCGGCCATGATGGGACGTCTAAGGCTGCTAGGCTGCTAGGCATGATGGGATCCTTTTGGGGGAGGATGCATGATCCATAAAGGAAGCCAACGAACGGGTCCCCTAGAGCTGCCTTCACACTGTAACAGTGAGTGGACCTGGACTGAAACTCACCCCTGCTTTTGATGGAATTTCTCCTTTCGCAACTTTCCCTAAAAACTCGGAGACACCCTATCAGCAACTTCACCAGCCCAACTTGGAACTGCCAGGCCTCGCCCAAAAATCCTCTTCCAACCTCCCGACTCGTCACGACACACGGTGTCCATTCGGCACGGCGTCCACCCACAGACGTACTTGGTCCCGAACCTCGCCTTGGCGGAGCACCGCTCAGTGTGGACCTCCAGTGTCGACCCAGCCTTGGTGATGGCGTGCGGCTTCTTCGGTGGTCGCCGGTGGTAGCTTGATGCATTTTGTGTCCATCGTCATCGTCCAGAATATAATCTTTATTGATCTATTATATTCTATTATAATCTATTATTTTTCTGGGTGGTTGATGGTCAAATAAGTTCAGCCTTTTACTCCAAGGTTCAGGCTGAAACTGTTGCTGGGCGAAAGAAAGCTGGAACCATCTGGAACCGCTGGACGGGCCGAGCTGTCATCAGGGCTTGATTGATGAGACAATTTGCATCCAATCTGCTAGGACTTGGGATCATGCTTTGTATTGATGTCTTTCTTTCTTTATTATTACCAGTATTTGATGATGTAAGTAAGTATTATAGTATTTACAAAATTAAAGAGAAGAATACAGAGCAAAGACGGAAGATGTTGAAAAGGGGGCCACGTCACCCAGCGGGCCCAGTTGGGTCAATTCCCTTCTCCTAGGAGTTTGCACAGGAAGCTTGCATGTGCGTTTCGACCTGTTTCGACATCCCCCAGTGGGACTGGAACCAAAGCCTGAAATGGGCGGCCACAATCAAGAGCGCGTATCGGCATTTTGAGATGGGGTGCTTTGGCATAGTTATGTCATGTGCAAAATCCTGCGTGGGACTGGTTTGGCGCATCAAGGATTGAAACCAAGAATACACCGGGGGACAAATCGCGCTGACCCGTTTCTGCACAGTTCAGGTCGGTAAAATATTTTAATAGATCCAACAACAATGTCTATTTCTGAAGTGTGGCATTGCAGATTTGCGTCTAGTTCAGATATGATATGTTCAGATAATATTTTGTTCAGTGGCCTTCTCTATTGAAGAAACATACTAGGGTTCCATGTCACATTGATTCATTATTAAATTAATAGAGGTATGGTTCCCCGAACACCGAGTCTGAAAACAACCAAAAACATCCAAAAACTTGGAACTGCTGATGGACATGGTTTCGTGAACACAATGGTTTGTGTATAATTTCTCTCTTAGTCTTGAGTCTTGAGTTCTTTCGTTTTTTGGTCGGTTCCCGTTTTTGGTCGACTAAAAGATGAACAGGGCCCTTTTCCGACCGACGCCTCCAATTCTGGCAGCGACCTTGCCTCCAAGGATGTCGTCGGGCACGGCTTCTTTTGTAAATTACTTCAAAATAGTACTAGTCAATTCCTTAAAGCGTGTGATGTTTGGTTTATGGTTTAATATTACTTTGTTAAACCCAATGTGACTGGCAATGACTCATTTGTAGCCCCCAATGTCACATGTGTCACAAGTTGTAGCCGTGTTGTGTGTTGCGTTTTTCGGAGATCGGAGATCGCAGACATGTCTCCGATCGATGCAGCAAGGCCTCCTTCCTGACGTTACCATTCCATGGGCTGCTCGGCATTCTCGGCCATTCTCGCCTAATTCAAACCATAGCCTTGTTACTAGTTACTTGTACTAGTAGCGATGGCCTCCAACCTAGTAGCTTCTTGCTACTAGTAATAATGGCCTCCAACCTACTAGCGATGGATGGCCTCCAACCTAGTAGCTTTTTGTTACTAGTTGCGATGGCCTCCAACCTACTTGCGAGGGCCACCACCTACAATAGCTTCTCGCCACTAGTAAAAGGGAACCGAAACCTGAGATTCAGGTGTTTGATGTTTTTCCTGGTTGAGTTCTGAGAGTCTGAGAATCATATGAATCATGGACGACATGGCGCCATGTTGAAAACATATTTTGAGAAGATCTATGGGATCAGCGTGCATGCTGAAGAGCTTGGATGTTCAAAGATGTCCATAACGGCTTAGACAGACAAGGTGGGTTTTCTATCCAACCCACAGTGAGGGATACAGGAAGACACAGAGCTGTCAGAATTCTTTGCAAGGTTTCAGAGGAACACATCCAAATTCACAGAGATGTTTCATTCAACCAGCCCCGCCACGGCCGATGGTTCATCCACCGGACGATGGACGGGGGCCACTCGCGGGGGCCGGAGGGGTATTCCAACGGCACCCGTGGTGGGACGGAGGAAGGGAACGATCGCAGGGAGCCAAGGCGGCGGCGTTGGTTGGTGGGTCCATACACACCCGAAAAGCGCACATGGACATTCTAGTCGCCGAATTGGGAGACTGTTGGAAGTCCAAAGAAAGATTGGGAATGCCCCATGAACTGGGCATTGCCCCAACCCACAGACAACGGTCTTAAGTGTTCACAAGGATCCAATCAGCACTGCGGATGGTCCGCATTCAGAACGCACTGAGGCCCATCCGCAACGATTGCACACATCAGCAGCGGGTGGAGAAGGCTAGGCCATGTGTGACATGGATAAAGCTGGAATGTTCCAACCCATTGAGGTTTTAGGCACCTAGGTGAACGTCCAATGATGAGCCTGTGGATATGCATGTTGAAATCATTTCAAGATGTGATTCTTGGGCCAATCAAACCCGGCAACAGCAGTGATGGACTGTTCCGCATGACTTGTTCTCCGCATGTGGCGAGGCCCAGAAGCAGGGCTTCGTGGTGAAGGGGCCCAAGATGGACGAGCGACCCCTACGCTTCCAGGAGATCCCAAAGCTGAGTACTTTTGGAGAGAGAAAAACAGATGGCTCCTGCTGCG